TATCTCATATCAAAATTTACAAAATAAATTATTAATGTCAACTTGCCAGTAAGCAGTTTTTATATCCTAGGCCTGAAAATATCCTGCTCACGTAATAAACATAATAAAGCTTCAAAGATGAGCAAATTAACTTTTCAACAAAAGCTTTACTTGAGTGTATCTTGGCTTCCTTCTTGACAAGTGGTAACCTTAATGTTACAGTAATGTTTTCTTTTCTGGGAATCAGATAATCTTGCACTTGGAAAAATGTTTTTGGTGAACATTTTATTTCTCAATGGTAATTTGTATTTTGTGATATGCAAGTGTTCAAACAATTTATAAGAACTAACCATCACCACCCACATGTCAGATTATACAGGAATGGAAGAATTTTGGCTGACTGATTGTATATAATTGTTGAGCCAGAGTGGATGACAAACTCTATCATTTTTTGTGATTTAGGGTTTTGAAGCAATATTTCTAAATACAAATAATCTCAAAATTTGTAATATAGAGAGTATATTACTTATGTTTTGACTGAAATAGGTTTATCTTTCCTCCATTTGTAAGGGTTACTTATTGTATAAGTTCTATACAAAATTGTCAAGATCACATTTTTCCTTTTTTTTTAACTCTATTTAATTTTTGTTCTCAAGAAACATTAACCTTGGGTATACTGTTACACAATTTCTGAAAATGCCAAGAGTTTCTTTGAAAAGCGTAGAACTCTGAAGATAATAAAAGTTCATTTCTCCAAGGTCAAGTCCTTTGAGGATTTGGTAGGCCTCCCCTCTAGCTGCACCCTGAAGAGATGGAAGATTAAGGTCCAGTTAGGAGCAGTCTGCTAACTTGAGGGCTTTCTGTGGACTGCAGAGTGCCTGGCAGACTCTTACTGATTAAATCAGGCTTTCTCAGTGGGTGGGCTTTGTTGGTCCAGATCTTAGAATGTTTGCTTCAGTGGCCAGTAGACAGCCTGTTCTCTTCACAATGACCAATATTTACCATGTATAATGGTAAATAACAATAACCTATAGAGAAATCAACTCAGTACCCTCAGGAATGCAGCCTTCTCCAGAGAGTTTGTACCATAAAGAACTCACTAATGTGTTGGTGTTGTGAATTGGTGCTGTGAGGGCCAGCCAACCCTTGACTGATAACCCTGGATAGGAAAGGCTAGATAATATTCTTCCATGACTCTTGGTTAAATTCAGAATCAACAATCCTATATGCATTTGGCTGCTCTGTAATAGTGACTGGATGAACTGGTCAGTAAATGTTTGAGACAAACATCATTGCTCTGCTTCCTGGAGTGGAAAAGGAAAACAGTAGCATTGATTCAAGGCCCAGGTTTATGGAGTGAGCAAAGATAGGTCAGAAAGGGGAGTGAAAAGTCTAGAAAAATGTTTTTTGGTTCTTGTCTACAATAGGAATAACGTAGGAAGCAGATAGTCTCTTACCCCTACTTTTCTTCCATGTCTTCTATCCATAATTTTAGTTTGTATGCAAAGTTCTTTGTATAAAAATTTGTGTTTATATTCTTGTCTTTGTATTCTGTTTATTATTATCTTCAAGAATTCTTTGACCCTGCCACCTTCCTGGTATCACATAGATAATAGCCAATAAATATGGCTAAAGTTGCCATATTTGTTATAAATTCAGTTTCAAAATTTTATTCTCTTATCACTGTTCACCATTTCTTAGTTTTATTTCTTATTGTATCTTATATTTGAAAACTTTTGATACTTAGAGAGTATAACAGTTCTTAACTTTTTATTATCTAAGTGCTCTTTGTCATCTCTTTATTTAAAAAAAGTAAAACACATAAGAGAAAAATACACATTAACGAATCGATCACTTTTTAAAACTAGGTTCAACCCATGTTCCTCCATGACTTACTACCCATCATGCTTTAGTTTTAATAGGGTTGATTTATCTGTGATTGTAGGGTATTTTAAGCCACATGATATAAATAGAATGTAAGGTAAAATTACTAACCTTGCAGAAGTTGTAGGATTTTTTGCAGTCAGGGAAGGTGATGGTAGAGTACTTGAGTCACATGAAAATAATTGATTATGAGTACCTGACAGAGTTAGTTAATATGGCAAAGATAATTATATGACAGATAGGTTTTTTAAAGATGAGCTTGCATATCACGATTGCCAAAGGTCATAGGGAAAATTGATGAGGTTCTCAAATATTACAAAAATGACCATCTTTTCATAAACGATGTCATGTATCATGTATTTTGCAAAAAAAAGTACTGAAAGTGACTTTAATTCTAAAATTTATGTATTCTTCCCAGTATGATATGTTTTTTTTCTTTGATTGAACCCAGGGTTTCATGCATGTTAGGCAAGTGCTCTGCTACTGAACAATATCCCCAGCCCAAAACTTTTCCCTAAATAAAGTTCTTTAGTTATGTTGTTTTTAGTTTCTTTTTTTAGGAAAAGAAATGAATATTTTTTTCACAATTTATTCTGAAATTTTGGTGCCTTTTTATTGTAGCAGTTAGGTTTTGTTACAGGAACCAGAAAATACACTAGGTGTATTAAACAGAAAGGTTTATTACATAAATAAAGTATTTAATGGAAAAGTTGAAAAGTTTAAGGATCTGCCTCTAAGCTGAAACTTTTACAGATAAACTTTTGAGGAAACAATTGCAAATTGTGGAGTGGACATTTAATCATGTTCTTAAGAAGCTGCAAGTTTTCAGATCTTCATTGTCAAGAGGACAGTCAAGACACAGAGGAGTATGAGCTGTTATCTCTTTCAGCTTCCAAATCTCTGTGTGACTATAACTATCTGAGTTACAGTGAGCCTATAAATGTAGTTTTTCTTGTTACCTTTAGAAATTGAACAAGAAGGCATGGAAGTTGGGAGAGTCACTAACTTCCAAATTGTCTGGAATTAAGAGGTTGTTTAGAACAAACTGGTTCCAGTGTATGAGAACTGGCTCCAAAATATAATGAAACTGAGGAAGGCAGCCAGACTCAGGATTGCACAGATTGGAGACTTACTGACAGAAGCATGGTTTTAGACAGCAGCGAGACCCATGAGTCCCCTAACTTTGGGTCAGAAGTAAAGCTATATGTATTGGTCAGGACAAAAGTGGCTGCATCCAAGCCAGAATGTACCTGGTTTGTCTCATGCAACTATCAGAGTTGGGGACATAAGACTCTACATACCACTCATGTAAATAGACACTTGTCTGTTTGCAGTATGTGGGAAAACTATGAAGGGAAAACTGGCAAGGGTTCCTCAGGGCAATCATGGTAGTGTGATGTGAGGTGGCTGCAGATTCATGTCAAACTGAATCCTTAAGAGGTCTTTTCTAGTACCAGTTACCACGTACAGGAGGATTCTCTATTATGTTTGGTCAACTAGCTATGTAATTTAGATTAAAAATCCCAGGAATCTTCCCAGTCACTGATACTGTGACATCTGTTGTCACTAGCTTTGTGTGCTGTGTTGGGGTAGCTGGCCTGCGAATGCGGGAGCATAAATCCTTATAGAAAGGAGTGGAACACTTTCTCCTGGACTAGGCCGTTATGACTTACCGTCATTTTCTTCTTTGTGGGTTTTTTGTTTGTGTGTGTTTTTCTAATGTCTTTTAATTTTTATATTGCTTTTATTATGTTAACCTATGATGAAAAACAAGTGGCCTAGGTAATAATATTTAAGAACTGGGTTTTGAAAACTCTTCCAGAATCTACTTCTTATCTGCCATTCATCAGTTAGCCTGCTTTTTTGTGTTTGTTTTTGTTTTTTTTTTCTTTGGTGGAACTGGGGTTTGAACTCAGGACTTTGTACTTGCAAAGCAGGTACTCTACTGCTTGAGCCACACCTCCAGTCAATTTTGCTGGAATTTTCTTTGGAGATGGGGTCTCCCAAACTATTTGCTAGGGCTGGTTTCAAACCAGGATCCTTCCGATCTTAAGTTTCCTAACACTAGCAGGCAGGAGCCACTGTGCCTGGTCAGTTAATCTTTTTATCTGATAATTGTTAGTGGAAAAATGAAAATCCTGGCTATACACCAGTATAATGCAAGAAATACTGATTAATGACTAAAAGCAATATTTGAAGATATTCTGGGAAAATGAAGATATTCTGGGAAAATGAAGATATTCTGTACATGCAACTACTCTGTTATAAGAAAGAAACAGATGAATTTGTGTGCCAGCATTTTGTCCTTTGGTTACTGCTTGTATTTAATAGTATTATAATTAGTGAATGGAATTAAATAAAGTGGTCAAACAGTATATAAAAATTGTTTACTATAGTTATTTCTTTTGCCATGGACTACTTAGAAAATATATGGCACAGTTTTCCCATATGGGCATCATAATACTTTAGCCTTGGGTAGACGTTGGTAAAAAATAATGACTTCAGAGCTGTGTGTTTGTGTGTGTGTGTTATGCTTGCACATAAAATATAATGTACCTCTCAAAATTTTGCCCATTTAAAGTATCTATCTTTATAAATTTGTGGAGAACCACCAGTTTCCATTTTTGTAAACATACTAAATATAGCTTGGCATGTACTTAGAAGGTAATGCTCATGTTTCTATGGGTGTCAAAACGTTTCACGTATTCTCACTAGAGACTCATGCAGTTATTTCTTCCAAAAGGTAGTAAGTGCCTTTAAAGCTCAGGATTGCATTATAGTGTCTTTAGGGAACATCCTAATAGCAAATGTGCCTAGGCAGGAAAGAGAGAAGCCCATTTTAGGAAGGACTGCCTGCCTCAGAATTTTCTTTCCTATTTTCAGTTGTTTGCTTGTCCTCCATGATATTATTTGAAGAGAGACAAACAAGGACCTTCAGATCCTATGACAGTGTAGAGCACCCACATTAAATGCCAAAGAGGACACACACAGAAATTTTAATAGTATATTTCTGTGGAGGGCTCTTTCTGGAAGTATTGCAACCAACAAATGTGATTTTGTTTAATTTTATAATATTTTTGATATTTGGATGTTTCCTAATTTCATATTTAACTATGCCTGTCCTTGTTGGTCCTCAGGAAGTTTTTGACATGAAGTCTAAAGGACAGGCAACTGTAATTCAGCAACTGGAACAGACCATTGAGGATCTGAGGACCAAAATAGCTGAACTAGAGAAGCAGTACCCTTCGCTGGACATGGAGGTGGCCAATGGCCGTCAAGGGATTGAGAATGGAGTGGCATTCTCAGAAGATGTCTGTCTGGAAGCTCTCAGATTAGGAGGAAAGGATGTGCGGCACCCAAGGATTTTTCAGGCCAAATCCATACAGACTTCCCCAACAGAAGAGGGCGGGGCACTAACACTGCCATTTGTGAGTGCACTGCCAGAGAGTCCTCCATGCCCTCCTGGTACTGAAAATGGAGAGTCAGCTGTTCCATCCTCACCCTCTGGATCTCAGACAAAATTCTGTTCAGAGATTTCTTTGATTGTGTCTCCAAGGCGAATATCAGTGCAGCTCGACGCCCATCAGTCTATACAGAGTGTAACCCAACTTCCATCACCCCCATCCATTCCGTGGTCTGATGGTCAGGGAGAGCCTGGGTCACAGCCTTCACACCTTTCTCTTCAGACTGAGTTTGGAACTAGCCATGAATGCTCTGTTTCCTCCTCCACTGAAAACAGCTGCCATATCCCACCCCCACCATCTCTGCCTTGCACGGGGTGTTCCAGCTCCATGACTTCCCCGCCTCCCACTCTCTCAAACATAATAGTGCCTGCTCTGTCCAGTACCGCACCTTCCCCTCTGCCACCCCCTGCCCCTCCTCTGCCTGGAGTGGGGATACCCCCTCCCCCTCCTCTCCCTGGAGTGGGGATACCCCCTCCCCCTCCTCTCCCTGGAGTGGGGATACCCCCTCCCCCTCTCCTGGAGTGGGGATACCCCTCCCCCACCTCTCCCTGGAGTGGGGATACCCCCTCTCGCTCCCCCTCCTCTGCCTGGAGTGGGGATACCCCCTCCCCCACCTCTCCCTGGAGTGGGGATACTCCCTCCCCCACCTCTCCCTGGAGTGGGGATACCCCTCCCACCTCTCCTGGAGTGGGGATACCCCTCCCCCACCTCTCCCTGGAGTGGGATACCCCCTCCCCCTCCTCTCCCTGGAGTGGGGATACCCCCTCCCCCTCCTCTGCCTGGAGTGGGGATACCCCCTCCCCCACCTCTCCCTGGAGTGGGGATACCCCCTCCCCCACCTCTCCCTGGAGTGGGGATACCCCCTCTCCCTGGAGTGGGGATACCCCTCCTCTCTCCTGGAGTGGGGATACCCTCCCCTCCCCCTCCTCTGCCTGGAGTGGGGATACCCTCCCCACCTCTCCCTGGAGTGGGGATACCCCCTCCCCTCCTCTCCCTGGAGTGGGGATACCCTCCCCTCCTCTCCTGGAGTGGGGATACCCCCTCCCCCTCCTCTCCTGGAGTGGGGATACCCCCTCCCCCTCCTCTCCCTGGAGTGGGGATACCCCCTCCTCCTCCTCTTCCTGGAGTGGGAATTCCCCCCCCACCTCCTTTGCCTGATTTGGGTGTTCCACCTGCTCCAGCTCCACCTCCTCTTCTCCCTGGGACAGGCTTTCCCCCACCTCCTCAGCTCCTGGGATCAGGTCCTCCACTTTCTCCACAAGTTGGAAGTAGCACTTTAGCAACACCACAAGTGTGTGGATTTCTTCTTCCTCCATTACCATCTGGCTTGTTTGGATTAGGGATTAATCAGGACAGAGGTAGTAGGAAGCAGCCAATAGAACCTTGTCGGCCAATGAAGCCTCTTTATTGGACAAGGATTCAACTCCATAGTAAAAGGTAACATAAAAGCTAGCTCATCTTTACATAGTTTGTCAATACAAGGGGAACATAAAGCTTTTGGAGAAAGTACAATTTAATGTATTCGTTAGGTACAACTCTAAAACTTAACTGAAGATTTTATATCAATTATTTAAAATTGCAGACTTTTCTCCAGCAGTATCGGGGTGGTATCATTGTATGGGATGTACAAATATCTAGCTATAAAGTTAGTTTGTCGCTTAAGCAGAGAGGAAAATACTTTTCTTGGTGTATATACTCTGTTTCCTAGTGGCAGAACATTACTGCCATGCATCCCTGAGCCCAGCTGCAACAATATTTATATTGAAAGAATGGACACATGAAATAGGGAAGGTATTTTCCACATGACAATCTGTTCTTTGCTTTCCCTATTTAAATTTCCATTTCTGCGCAGTATCTTAAAAATGTAAATCAGATTCATAGGCATACTGACTCCTGAGGATGGTGTTTGCATCCTTGAAAAGGCCCAGCCTTGCTTTGTTTTTGGTAGTAGTAGTCTTTCTTCAGAAATATGTTATGTAAAGAATATATTCACACTCCGTGTGTAAATTTAGGTTCGAGAATTTCATGGCACTTCTATAATTGATGACATAGTGTGAAGTAATCAAATCATAGTTGGGAGTTATCACCATAAAACAATACTTTCCACGACTTTGCTGATGGTACAGTGTTCATCCATAGCCCATGTCCTGTTCCCTAGTCCCTAACACTGGGTTGGATGGCTTGGTTGTGGAAGCTGGGGAGGGTAGGAAAAGCACTTTCTTTAAATTCTAACTTTTTATGATTCTTTGATTTTATTTATGTGCTGTGGCATGTGTTTAGAAACTGGGTATTTACCAGGTTCATTTTCATTTCCTGGATTAATTTTCTCTTCACTAAATCCTATTAGGAGGCAAGGCTACATATCCTGACTACTTTTAGCTTTGTAGTTATTTTTTTGTATAGGTTCCATGTCACTTCTATATGCAGATGATTCATTTAAAAATGTGCCCTAAACTAATTTTCTCCAGATATATTATATAAACTTCTTTTGCACTTTTTTTTTCTTTTTTGGAGACAGAGTTTCCTTGTATAGCCTAGGCTGGCCTAGAATCTCTGTGTACCATAGGCTGGCCTTGAACTCACAGTCTTCCTTCCTCTACTTCACAAGTCCTGGAATTGCAGGTGGGCATCAGCACACACAGGAGAAGTAATTTGTTTTTGTTTTGTTTTGTAGTGCTGGGCATGGAACTCAGGGCCTTACAGAGGCTAGCAAATGCTATACCACTGATTTACATCCACAGCCCTTTAGGTTTTTTTTTTTTTTCTTCTTCTTAAAAATTTTATCTACCATGGCATATACCTATAAACCAGCTACTCAGTAGGTGGAAATACGAGGATTGCAGTTCAAGACCAGCTTGGACAAAAGCTGCAACCCTGTCCAAAAAACAAACTAAAAAACAAAAAAGCCTGGGGGTATGGCTCAATTGGTAGAACACTTGTCTGGCAAGTAGAAAAAAATGTGAATTTACCTTTTTTAGGTAGTACTACACAAATCTGTAGTTATTGAGGAACCAAATAACAATGGAATGATGGGAGTCAGAAGAAAGAGAGAGAGAGTGCTATCCTGAAAAAATGTTTGTTTTTTAACCCATGAATAATCTACCGGGCAATAAATTAAGTTGAGATTGTGAGATAGCAAGTATTTCTTGCTTCACAGACCATTCTGAGAGGGGTTTTCCATGTTTTTGTACATGACTTGAAAACTAGGAGTTCCTGAAATTATTGCTGCACAAAGGTTCTATTTTATGTGAATGGTATTTTACCTTTCTTATAAAGTTGATGAAATATTCTCTTATCTCACTCCCTTCACCTCCCTTCTTTCAGTTTGTCTCCTCCCTCCCTTCCTTCTTTTTGTTTATGTTTACCATAATGTAGTTTGGTCAATGGCCCTTTGATTGTTCTTTTGCTTAATTTTAGGGATTCTAGTCCTTCACTTATTTGGGAAAAAATTGAAGAGCCATCCATAGATTGCCATGAATTTGAAGAATTGTTTTCTAAAACTGCTGTAAAGGAGAGAAAGAAACCTATTTCTGACACAATCTCAAAGACAAAGGCTAAACAAGTGAGTATTTTTGTGCCTTCTGAATTTGGACAGAGTTTCTAGCAGAAGTCTGATCGTTCATTACACAAGATCTTTGGAAGGGCTTATGGGCTAGCTAAATGACTGTGGACTTTAAAGATAGCAAAGGTTATAATTTTACAATGTGTGCTTAAGTAAAACAAGTACAAACAGAACAACAAATAATCTGCTCCATCAAGTGATAATGCCTGACTCTTATTTGTAATCTCATTAGTACATATTCCCAAATTTTCAGTTATTTGTTTCCATAATTAGTTGTTCAGGAATACATTTTTGCTTGATTTAAATCCAAATCCACTGGAGTGTTCATGTGGATGGAACGAAGTGAAAGAATAGGCAGAGAAAAACAAACAAGCAAGGAAGCAATCTGTGGTATCTCATGATAAGCTTGGTGTTTTGCTGCATTATAACTGAAGTGGATGCTATTAAAACCTAGACAGACAGTTATATTCACTTGAAATATGGAAGAAAATCTTGTGTCCACTTCTAGTATATCCATTCCATGTTAGATTCTTTGATCTAACCTGTGACATGAGTCAGAAAAGATAGAATGATACATTTGGAGCAAAGCATTTCTGAACAACATTTTCACAGGATACATCCATCAGATTTGCCATGAAATTATGTTATAAATTTCTCAAGGATTTAGAAAGGTATAGTAACACAACACAATAATGAACGGTAGATAGGAATTACTATTGGTGCTCATTATTTAGTTTGAAGTGTCTATATTGGTTAAACTTTTGCCAGGTGGTGGAAAAGAGTAAAATGGAGGTGAGGGAATGGCAAGCAGCTCAGTCTTGGGAGGGAGAAATGAGGCCACTGTCCCTAGTGTTCTCCTTCTTATAAGTCCCAGCTATTGCACTGCTTCCTTGACTTTTTGCCTCCAAGCTGGAAGTTGTAACTAGGCACATGACCTAGGTTACTTCCATTGATACTTATTTCAAAGTAGAAATCTCCTCTCCGTTGGACACTGCTAAGTCTAGTCAGGGAGGGATAGATTTGAATGGGACACCCAGACTTCTGGAACCCATAGCTAACTGGGTAGGCAGGCTTACTCCAGGCATTTCATTAACCTCAGAAGGATGCAAACCTAAACATGATGTGATTGAAATTTTCATAACTATTTGTTGTATTTCAGTTGGTTGCTGGTAACCTTAGGTCAGAGACATTGCCTGACACATGGTAGCCAGTCAATAAATATTTGTTAAATGAACAAACCAGCCAACTAAGGGAGGACAGTTTTAGAAATATCTGTGACTATGCCCAGTATTGACTAAAAAAACAGAAAGTGATTCATGTCATAACAATATATCCAAAGGTGACACTGTTAAAGGTAATAAAAGTAAATGGAAAATTGTATTTTCTCTGGAAGAGATACATAGTTAAAAAATCTTTTCCATGATATATTTGCATATAGTGTTCTGTGGCTGAGTCACATAGTTCTTCTTATGGACTAAGTCAGAGATAGGATAGCTGTCGAAGCAAAAAGTGGCCCCAGTGGAGAGCCAGCATTGTCACTGATGAATGGTCTCATGTAGCACAGACAGTCCAAGGGCAGAATGCTCAGAGAGACAAACCACATCCTTCCCACCTCCTAATACCACCTTTTTGGTAAGGGAATTCAGATCAGGAAGATGTCTTGAGTTGTTGGAGCCTGTAGGATTTCATGCTGTATTTAACATAGTATTCTATTCTGTTTTTGGCTTACTGAAATGTGATTTATTCTTATCAAAACTTCACATTAAGCTAGTTTGCATGAGATGACCTCTTTGCATGTAAGCAAAGCATCTATGTTGCACATCACCTCCATAATCACCTCACTGAGGACATTTCATAAACTGTAGGTAAGAGACTGCCAGATAGTGATGCTGCTGTTGACTTTCAGCTTCAGATAAGGTCTTCACTGTGACTACTGATAAGTTTGTCCAGAAACTCCTTGGCTTGGGTCTTAGTATTTGCCTCTTCATTTCAGCTCTGTTTTTGAGGGATAAAAGTTTTTTTTTTTTCTTTTTTTTCCTGAATGTTAGAAAAAAATCTGCTGCAAAGTGATCTATTACTGAAAAAATCTAATTTTATTTAATTTGATTATATTTAGAAGAAAAATCTATCCATTACATTTCCTTGAGGCATTTAAGATTTTGTTGAAGGAAAATGTATTTTCAGAATGCATGAAAATAGTTCCCCTTTTATGGGAAATGTGTACTGATTGTGTGTGCAGACACTTTGGTACCTCATGATTTATTTCCAGTAAAATTAATAGCCTTTAATGCTGTGGCATATGTTTATGGTGTATTTCAAGCAATTCTCCTTATATACAATGGAAGCTGGAAGTTCTGTTTTTCTTTAAATATTTAAAAATAGCTAAATAATTTTCTGTGATCTGTCTTCTTGCAAGTAAGACTGTGGTCTAATGCATTGATATTTAACACGCTGTCTACCCTATTTTCTCTGTCACAGTGAAGACATTTTCACTGTGGTAATAGAAGGTTCCTCAGCTGGATGCATGGCCCTTTGCCATAAAGACAAAACAGGGTTATTTGCTGGATGTGCAGAGTTGTAGCAACGAGGACTATCTTATATTTCTAAATCCTCTTTCTTCCAAGGAACTGAATATAAAGCGCCTTACATTTTTTCCTTAAGAAACGTGTATTTAAGTTTATTCTGTGATGGTTTCTTCATTTATCCTTTATTTTGAATACATATGAGGAGATTAGCTGAAAAGGTACATGAGAGTTAATTAGACTGCAGTGTGACAGTTCATAACCAGATGAATGTGACTCTTGTACATCAGAGTTATAAATTAACTTGCTAACTTAAAAACAAACAAACCTATGTCTTAAGGAAAAAAAGGAAAATAGAAAAATGATCTCATAATGATGCCTTGTTTAAGCACTAACACAAATACATGCTTCCCCATTTTTAAGAAATGGTCTTGAACTAGCACACATTTAAAACTCTTTTCTCTGTTGTCAGAGTATCCAGTACCCCAGGGTACTGGTGCTTGACCTCAGGACCTCACACTTGCTAGGCAGGCACTCTCCCACTTGAGCCATTCCACCAGCCCTTGTTTGTGCTTGTTATTTTCGAGATAGGACCTCAAGAACTATTTGCCTGGGCTGGCTTCGAACTGCTATCCTCCTGATCTCTGCTTCCTGAGTATCTAGGAATATAGTCGTGAGTCACTAGCCCCCAGCTAATCAGTGATTTTTAATTTATATAATGGTCCTAAGTCACTTCAGTTTCTTTTATGATCAAATAAAGATTAAATTAACTGTAAAACAAGCTAATGAGCAAGAAAATGAGAGAATTTAATTCAGAAGGACTTTGGAAATAAGGGTTGCTTCAAAAAGAAGTTTCTGGTTAATCCTGTGTCCAATGAAATCACGAGGAAATATATTTTGATAAGCATGGTATTGGAGTACCAGTTACTCAGCAGCAGTAACCATGTCAGTAGTTATACTGTGCTAGTTATTGTTCTTAGCACTTTGTTTATGTGAACTTATTTAATCCTCCTCCTTCTGTAAGACAGACACATGATCCCCAGTTCACAGTGCAGAGTACTGAGTCACTATAAGGGTTCCATAGTTTGTTATGTTGGTAAGGGCCAGTATTCAGGTACAAATTCAAGCCATCTTGTTTCAGAGTCTTTGCTCTTCCTAATTAAGCTATAGGTATGGATGCAAAATATTTTATAAGAACATAGTATTTTATTTATGCAGAAAACAAAATATGTATGTACATAAAGAATGAATATGTATTGGTCTCACATATGCTCAGTATTAAATAACGATAGTTGCAGTTATAAAACTGTATGTGGAGTCACTTTGAAAAATGTTTCCATATTCTAATAGATTTTGACACATGTAAACTATGATGCCACCAGTTACTTGCCAGTTAAATAATGGTTATCTTTAGACATATGCTTTGCAAGGAGGAATAATGAGACCCATTTGCTGTGGCATATAGAGGCAGACAGGCAAAGAGTTGGGGAGACAAACTATGATAGTTAAATCTTTGTTGGGCTTCTGCCTTTGGAAATATCACTAGAAAAATAGTTAAATCTGCTATTATAAGGGGAGGTAGGGAAGGGGTTCATTAAAATTCACATTTAAATACAGATATAAAAGTTAAAGAGTAGACACTTGACATCCTTTCAATATGTCCATTGTACTTGATGACTAACCTCTAACAAAAGGTGTTTTTGTTTTTTTCAATGTTGTAAAAATGCCTAACAGTGAAGGGAAAAGCATTCGTCATTCAGCTGCTCTTACATGAGTGCGCTACATAACGCCCCTCAGCATTCTTACATGAAGCCGTGATTGCCATTAGAATTTCCTCCTGCCCTGTTGGGGATCTGGGGTAATGTATGTGCTCTACTTCACATATTTCCCGGTGCTATAATAGATTGTTGTGAAAGGGAAAAGTGGCATGACATTTTCTTTGACTCTCTGCTTCAGTTTTATTCATATATTGCCAATATTCATTTTGAGACTTTGAAAATGTCTTATTATAATCAATGGAGATTTCAGTGTTCAAATAGTGATGGGATGAACAATTCTTTGAGCAATAGAATCCAGGTTTTATGTATGGGCACTGATTTTTTGAGTTGGAGCTGGCAAAGGTATGTTTTGGTTAACTTAGTTACATATATCTTTTAGAGTAAAGACCTAAAATAGTGTTCAGAACACCAAATATAATAAGACAATTCAGATTTTCTTTGATTGGGGTGACTCAAATGGTAGAGTGCCTGCCTAGCAAGTGTGAGACCCTGAGTTCAAAACCCAGTACTGCAAAAAAAAAAAAAAAAAAACCCAGATTTTGGGATCCATACTAAACATTTGTTACTTTGTAACTTTTCACATCTGTTTTTAATGGAAAGTATTCCAATTGCAAGCCTTAAAAATGTATTTACATAGAAAACCACATCAATAATATAAAGCTATAATTAGACAAACATAGGTTTTATGAAATCTGGATTT